TCCCGCAACAGTGTCCCACAAGAGTGCCCTACAAGAGTGTCCCACAATTGTCCTACAAGAATGTCCCAAAAGAGTGTCCTACAAGAGTGTCCCAACCAAGAGTTTCCTACAAGACTGTCCCACAAGAGTGTCCCACAAGAGTGTCCCAGAAGAGTGTCCAACAAGAGTGTCCTACAAGAGTGTCTCACCAGAGTGTTTGACAAGAGTGTCCCATAAGAGTGACCCACAAGAGTGTCCTATAACAGCGCCCCACAATTGTCCTACAAGAGTGTCCAAAAAGAGTGCCCCGCCAGAGTTTCCTGCAAGAGTGACCCACAAGAGTGTCCTACAAGAGTGTCCCACAAAAGTAGTCCTACAAGAGTGTCCGACAAGAGTGTCCCACAAGAGTGTCCTACAACAGTGTCTCACAAGAGTGTCCTACAAGAGTGTTCCACAAGAGTGTCCCACAAGAGTGTCGCACAAGAGTGTCCTACAAGAGTGTCCCACAAGAGTGTCCCACAAGAGTGTCCTGTAAGAGTGACCCGCAAGAGTGTCCTACAAGAGTGTCTCACAAGAGTGTCCCACAAGAGTGTCCGACAAGAGTGTCCCAAAACAGTGCCCCGCAAGAGCTTCCTACAAGAGTGACTCACAAGAGTGTCCTACAAGAGTGTCCCACAAGAGTGTCCTACAAGAGTGTCCCACAAGAGTGTCCTACAAGAGTGTCCGACAAGAGTGTCTCACAAGAGTGTCCCACAAGAGTGTCCTACAAGAGTGTCCCACAAGAGTTTCCTACAAGAGTGTCCCACAAGAGTGTCCCCCAGAAGAGTGTCCCACAAGAGTGTCCTACAAAAGCGTCATTTGGACATATTATACTGAGGTGAGATGACTTATGATGACTTAGGCCAATTGGGTCGAAGTGACATACAACTTTCCCAGGGCAAGTCCCAAGTCATGTACAGATGTAAACTCTGCAATTTTATTGGCACACACTCATGACATAGGCCTTGTTGACCTGGTCCTCAGTCTTTTTTGGTTTGTGCATGCTCCTGGAAGATTAGAGCTAATGAAAATCCACATGTCAAATTTCTATCTCTCGATGTTTTATCCATTGTTTAGATACCAAAGTCGTATGTCATGATGCTTGTCAATGTAAAATCAACTGTTTTTTAGGATCTATGGTGACAACCTCTGGCATCTCTCGTTGTTTTTCAAAGCGTTTGCTTCATGACATACATACTTGTGGGGGGGTAGGCTAAACCTTCATGACTTAGCCGCAGAAATTTGGAGGCACTTTTCACAAGTCCTTTGTCATTTCAGCTGAGTATATATGTAGCTTTTCGAACGTGTTTGCATTCGGGTTCGTGGGCTCCATCTTGTTCTTTTTTTGGGGGGGCGGCGGCCGTGTTCTATTTTTGGGATAGGTGGAAAATGGTGGAAGGGATTGCTTCTCTCGCAAAGGACCTCTCTGTGGCTCTCTCTCTCTCTCTCCCTCTCTCTCTACAACTATAAGTGCATATAGAAAGCCCCCCGCCAGAAAGAGAAGTCTAGTTCATCACGAGCCAGCCATTTCACAAAGCAAGTTGCATAGCGCAAGTGAACTTATGCAGGTAAACTCTGCAGACTCAGCGCAAGTTAACCTATCTGAGTCACTCAGTCACTCCGCCTCGTGCAAACAAACCTGTGAAACTCCCTGCAGGGCAGCATGTTTCAACGAGCCTCTGAAAAGAAAGTTCCAAGTTGACTGGTGTAGGATGGTGTAGGTAGCTTTGTCCAAGGGCATCTGTGTGTGTGTGTGCGCTATAAGCACCAGCACTGAAAGGCGACCCAAAGGAGACAAGCAAACTTCACGAGAGTACCAAGCTGTTGCAACATCGTTGTTGGGTGCAAACTACCCCACGTTTGGAGGCCATCGCTATTAGGTTGGAGGCCATATGCAACTGGTCGACTGGCATGCTCGAGGGCATTGGTTGGGGTATCACTTATATAACTTATATAAGTATTGCTTCAAATACTCGCGGTTTGGCCCCACATGAGATGACTGCCGCACAGTCTCGCATGCAAAAGGTCACGAGAATGTATTGAATTCCCTTTCAGATCAAGAAGCTAAACATTGAACAAAGACATGTTGAACCCGCGGGGGGAGGGCCTACGCATGAATGATTCACAGGGTAGGGCCTTCCATCCCACAGCAATAAACTTGCTAAAGCAAGAGTAACTCCAGCTAGCTGACGCTAGCTTTCGTAGCAAATGCACTTGGACAATGTGCATCCTTCATGTTCTGGTAGTGCATCGCCTTTGCGGGGGCATCACTTCCCTGGGCTTTTGCATATTAAGCGTGATGATGGCTGCTCACATCTTCTGCTAAACATACCGTGTTTTGACGGTTGCTCATGCGTTGCCTGTCTCCAATTCAACTTGTGCAAATTGGGCCTCCGCAATTTATCAGCGCACCCCAAAATGTGAAATCAACCTTGCCTTACTCCGTTCTCTTAGTCTCACTTTCCACTATATACAATGGGAAACCTTTGCCACGCCACGCTGGGACATCTGTCATATGCTTAATTATTGAAAAAGCATGCAAAAGCATGCAAAAGCCTCAAAGCCCTTGTCCAAACCTTTAACCGCAAGAAGCAACCTACTAGGCCTGTTGTTCAGTTCCAAGTTTCTTACTTCGAGTCTTAAAGAGAGTCACCAGGGCAGCCACAACACATGCAATCATTGGAAAGAGTAGTGCCACCCACTGGATCATATCCACGATCATGTTCATCGTCATGGACACCAGTGGGCCGAAGACGGAACTCATGCGCAACATGGCCATGAATTGAGAAATGCCCAAGAAGAGCACGCCTAAGGCTTTGAACTGCTGTGCGAACTCCACTGATTGTTTGTCAATCAAGACCAGCACTGTGGTCCATGCAATGCACGTGAAGGCGACCAACTCCATGACGTTCACCCGATCCATAAACCAAAAGAGGAAGGAATTGCGAGCGCCAGCTTTGGCATTTGCAAAGCTCACCAGCTGGGCGACCTCGCCCAACCAAGCGCCGGCACTAAGGACCAGCACCACTGGGACGTTGGCCCCTTCCGGCCTCTCTGCGATCAAATAAGCAGCGAAGCCTAGGTTTGTAAGGATGGCTAAGTATTTCTTGTAGCGCGGAATGAGCAGCGGCATGCGGCTTTGAACTTGGAAGACTTGCTCGCGACATTCCTCCCGGACAGCTTTCTCGAAGTCCTCCTTGTCCCAACAAACCTTCCCCTTCTTTTCAAACCTGTATGGCCACTGATTGTTTTGTTTCTTGAGTATGCGCTTCCAACGGTCCTCTTCTTCTTGCCGGGTCTGGTCTGCACGCAAGATCACCTTGCACTGAAGATAGCTCTCAACACCGGGTGCCACTGCAAAAAGAGGGACCATGACCAAATTGGCTGAGCCAAACAGGAGCAGCCTCATCCAAACTCGCAGCTGCTGGCACCAGTTTCGCTCGAAGTAGTCTGGACGAACACCCTGCCACATATCGAGCATGATCTGTTGCAACGAAGGGCGAGCAAAGAAGAGTCGGGCGTCGCCAAGCTGAAATTGCACCAGAATGCATACCCCGGCTTTGGTGCACCAAAGCATCTCCTGGTCGTTCTCGCGGAGCTTCTCAACCAGCACGATGGCTGTCTGCTGGACTTTGCCATGCATGCTTGCCAAACGTTCCCCTTCTTCCAAATCCTCCTCCAAGCGAAGGCGGGCCTCGCCCAGTAGGAAAATCAAGAACTCTGAGGTCCTCCTGAGGGTGAGTTCGGCCCTTAGGTAGAACATGCAGCAAAGCGCCATCCGCACTTCCTTCTCGTCTCGGCTGGACAAGCTCCTAAACCTTTCCGTTCCTCCCTTGAGAAAAAGCTCTGCAGCTGTCTGACGTTCGTGGTCCTCATAAGCCTCGTTATCTTCCTGGTCTTCATCGGTCTCCAGTTCAGCTTCGTCATTGTTTCCTGGTTCAAGTTCAGGGTCGTCTTCATTCTCGAAATAGGGTCCAGTCGTTCTGGGCTCCAGGTCTTCAAGCTTTTTGATGAGCTTCCGCAAGCGGTTGAGATTCTCCTCCTTCGGCCGCTTGGGCCTCATGATCGTGTGCGACGGAGGACTCAACGACTGATCCTCAGTGATGTTGAGCTGCAGGGCCTCGTTGTCGGCGTCCTCGGAAGTTGGGGGCAAGAACAATGGTGCAAGACTAGTGTTGTTCACTGTTCAGTGTGGCATGGCAGCATGGGCGACATTCGATCACTGGTTGGCCATCTTATGCAGGTATTTTGTTGGCACTGACACTTTCAGAGGTGCACCTATTGATTTCAACATCTTCAAACGGCTCAGAACCATCAAACTGATCACGTCCTCGTTGAGGTTCTCAGAGGAGGCCTCCACCTCTGTGATCTCTTGGTTCCCCTGTTCTCGGTCAGGCTGTTCGCCATTCCCAATGATCGAGGTCAATGCTGGCTGGGCTTCCTCAGGGCACGTGTACAGTAGCACCACTGGATAGTGGTGTAACAAACGCATCAAGGTGCTGATGCCCCAAAAAAACAACGTTGCACCGCATCTCGTCAAATACTGTTCGATGGCGAACTCGGCAACACACCATAAATCACCATAACACACCCTTTGCCCCCTTGTCCTTCCCCTTCTTTGACTGCAACTTCCTGCCAGAGGCCTTAGCCTTCGGCTTCGCCTTCGGCTCCTTGGGTTTGTTCTCCGAGTTCTCCTCCATGGTGGGCCACCCAGGCGTTTTACACCCAGGCACCCTGCTTGAACCGGCGGGACAGCGCGAGTCGTCCAACGGTTCGGAGACCGAAGGAACCAAGGGCACTGCTTCTCCTTTGCCAACCCTACACCAACTGCCCTACCAAAATTCAGAAACCACTTGATATTACAACCGCCCACGACCACTGCTGAGGCCAATGTCCAGAGTCCTGTGCTACTGCTTGCTGCTACTACTTTTGCGGGACTGGGCCTGCCTCTAGATGCTCATCAACCTCAGTGCACAACAGGATTCATATCGCGCCAGGTGCTCATGCGACGCAGCAGTGAAACATCTCCAACGATCACGTTCTACTCCCGAAATGTGCAAATCGTCTAGTTTTTTTGTTCAGGTTATATAGTGCGCACCTCTCTTCAAGGAAGCTATGGAAGACATGAGGTCCTGTTTTGTTGTCCGAGGAATGTCCCAGCATCTCACTGGAAACCTCACAGTTCCCACAGCCACATGGGCCAAAACCCATCGCATGACAAGACACTCGGCCACTCGCCAGGTGGGTGCGAAAATCCATTTCGCTCATTAAGCCTTCATGGCTCCAGCCAAGCTACGAGAGCGAAAGCATCCGAGAGCACATCACTGATGAGACTGCTAAGGCGCCAGCAATAATTAGGTCGGCAATTTTTGTGAAGTACAGTAAGCGGCTGCTGCTTACACGGTTCTACAGGTCATGGTGTTTAAATGCTTTTAGGATCTTTTAGGTCCATAAGAAGTGCCAGGCCGATAGTCAGTCAAAACACACTCTGGTCAGCTAATTCCACGGTCGTTTCTCCACGGTCACGCGGCTAGCGGTGAAGCGCTAAGGTATTCTCATCGCATCTAAGGCCTTACAATCAGCTCGAATGGTCCAAAAAAGGCCACTCGCCTCTGGACTTAGGGCCAGGCCTCCAAGTGTTCGTCGACCTCATCAAGTGTTGTCACATGTGCTGGACAGTGGGCTGGGCGGCTGCGATATATATAGATATATACATATTATTACATATTCAATCATACTCATATGCCCTCAATTGATGGTGGCATTTGGCCCAGTGTTTGGTCGACTGGTAGTTTTCTCATGCCCGTTCTTGACACACTTAGCTGGCCACTGACAGCAGCACATTGGCCGCTGAGAAACCACCTTGGGGCAACCCATGTGTTCATTGTAGCCGGATCCCTCCACAACTGAAAGCCACTGTCAAGGGGATGCAAGGGGAGCGTCTCACAGGGGAACCGTCTAACAGATTCCAACACTGGCATCTCCTGGGGCTGCTGCTGGCTACCGCAGCCTGAAGGCCGCCCGCGAGTGGTGCGACTACAACGAACATGATTGCCTTAAGTCTGTTAAGTCTTTAATAGTCTGCACGTTCAAAGGGATGATCAGGGGCTAAACCAGGAACACCCCCCCCAAAATGTGTTCCTTGTTTTGCTGCACGGCTCCTCGCACCCCTTAAATGCTGCCTGAACAAGTCAGCTCTTCTTGCTAGGCGTTGCATGGCACCTTGATGGATTGCAACACTCTGCTGATGGCTGAGGATGCTACAGGCACGCCAATCCCCGGAAAAGTGCTGTCACCACCTCAGCCCAAAACTGAGATTTTTCTCACATCTGGCCCACAGAAGCGCTGCTGCGGAGTCGTAAACCGGCACACAAAAGGCTCGGCATTCACCGGGAAGTGCATCACTTCGACAAGTACCAGTAATTAATTATTGGGTTCTGGGCATTTCCCAGCTTTGTGAGCTGTGAATAGGTGTGAGGTTCACTCTTGCAATATCTTGGTGTATCTTGGTCATAATCATAGGGTGTTCAAGGGCTTTTCACCTAGGGCCTAGGTATGGCAACTGCTGGCTACGAGAGTGTACCTGTGGAAGATTCCGAATGAGACTTCCCCTGACATAAGTCTGATTCATGAGGTCTGTCATTCCACTCTTGTGTTGCTTTGCCACCGTTTGTTCATAGCTCTGACCATCTGGGCGCCTCACAGTGCAACAAGCCATCAATGGGCGTCGACCTAATGTCAGTCGCTGCATCTGAGAAAGCTGCATAAGATTTGCGCGAGTCAGACCTAGACCTGCAAATCCCTGCTATGGCTACATGCTGCCCCAGCAGTGTTTTGGAGTCCCCCAGTTTCCTTCCTGAAACAATCTCAAGGTTTGGAGATATTTTTTGAAGCACAAGGGAAGAAGCTCCCCTTATCCATCCAGAATCGACCATCTAAGTCGCTGACGCACCTGGCAGCATTCCAGCCTCACCGTTCAGTCACCATGGCTTTTCTAAAGCCGTGGACCAAGGACTGGCAACTCCTGAAGACGGGACCCTCCATGCACTGATTCACCAAGGAATTCGGCACACTTGAAGCTGCAGCAGCTAGCAGATTCTTTCAATATCAAGGCTTCAAGCACTGTACATCGCTCGCCCTGCTTGCTGTGGAAAGCAGTCCGTGATATTAAACTGTCATTGTATTGTGAGAGCGTCTTCCAAACACCTCCACCACCAGGAATCTCAATCATAATCCTATTGAACTCAAGCACCACATGCAATCACTTTCGTGTTTGGAGATGTTTGGAGAGACCCCAGGATTGGTCATCCCAAGAGCTTCCGTTTCAGATGCTCAAAAATCTCCGTGGCCCGTTTGGGCCGCGGCTCACTCATCAGCGCCGAATAGAGCTGACCCACCGTGACCCGGGCGGTGCAAAGGTCTCGGCTGAGCTCGGTGAGTTGAGGGCCCAGGTGTTCCAAGTCGAAGGGAAAGTACAGCAAACGGCGCCGCCCCTCGCTGGCGGCCAACCATTGTAAGATCGCCTGCGTTTTTTGGGAAGAATTTTCATGAATTTTCAAGTCTGAGAGGGAATGGTTGGGTGAGTAAAAGTGGGTGAGAGGACCGGGAGCAGTGTTTGCAACGAAGAATGTGCGGGCATTGTACCGTGCAAGACTGTTCCACCTGTATCCGTATCCCCTGGGTAAGTTCAATTCAAGGACCATGATCCAAAAAATCTATATATAAAATAGAATAATTCCTGGTAGGATCTGATAGGGGAACAACATTCAAGGAGGCTTCTTCCTCTCTCATCATTGCCAATTGCCACTTGGTTCACGGGGTCTCCGTTCGGACCGCTAGGCTGCCGGTCACCGTGTCCCAGCCTTGAGCTCCGCGCACCCCTCAAAGGCTCCACAGCCCCAGTTCCCGGTAGCGATGATCGGCCACTGCGCCAGCGCCGCCTCGTCCACTGGCGCAAAGGCAGCTGCTGCCTTCTCCAATTCCCGCAAGAGCAAGGGCTCCTCGTGTGGGAGACTGCGACATCCGTGCAGTCTTTGACGGTGGTAATGTTACCACAGTCAAGAACACCAAGAACACCAAGAACAATGGGCTCCTACACCTCAATAAGTCACTGTGGTTCACACTTAGCTCATCTTAGCTCTTTGGTGTTCGACGAAGAGTGATTTGCCGTGATTCTCCCTCACTACATCCCCAAAAAGGGACGGGAGAACTATTGTAAGATCACTTGTAAGATCATGTAAGATCTATAATGTAATCCCCCTGGCATCAATACCCAATCCTCAACTATCCTCAACCTCAATCTTCCACTCAATTCCGATCCTCACCCAACCGATCCTCACCATTTCCGACATGCCATTCTTTCCCCCATCATCTCTTCCCCTCCTGCAGCTGCGTCCGCAGGCTGGAGTCGCGCCCCCGGAAGTCCAGTGCATCCATCGCCGTGATCGCCTGCAGCACGGTGCCGTCCGCGTCCCGCGGCGAGCGGTCACGGTAGTCGGCGCCGAAGCGCAGGGAGCGGCCATAGCCCTCGTAGCTGCAGAACTGCTCGCCTGGCTTTCGGGGAGTCAATGTGGACTACAACATGGTTACATAATTGGCTGTGTGGACTAAGGTCATTCAAGTTTTTAGCTCTGGCAGGAACCCTTCTGGGAGGGTTTTGGTTGCAAGTGCACAATAATGCAAGGCAACATCAAGTCAACAAGCACCGGCCGCGTCTCCTCCTACGATGGTGATGGCTTCATTGTCCAACATAATGGGACACACCAGCATCGCCGCACAAAGCTCGGGACAAATGGAGAAGCGGATCTCTTCTTGCACACAGCCCCCAACAAGCACTCCACCGCCTAAGCACTGGTTGGCAAAGTCCGCATGAAGACAACCACGGCCAACCTGCCATGGGAAAATTTGAAAATAAGAGAAAAGGTCTGTCCATAGAAGTCGTGAAGAAACTTGTGGGTCCTGTGGCTACTTGCGTTCGAGGCCAATTACTGTAGGTGCAGTATGTCTTTCAGGTTCCTGAAGGCCCTCATGCTTCCAACTCATTTCTTCACCCAGAGCCACCTCATCCTCAAAGCCGGTGAATGGAGGAGCAACATTCAGCTCCAGCAAAGGCCATTTGGACTCTCTCCATGTACTCCCCGTCTTGGCCGCAGGCCTCACTTGTCGATAGATGCGCAGCTCGCCCTTGGGCATCTCCAAGCGACATCGGTCGAAGTAGTGAATGAACATTCGTAGCTTCGCCAGCTCCTGGGGGCAATGCTTGTTCACCCGGAAGAGCAACAAGTCGAAGCCGGCATAGGGCATGTTGGACGGCAAGTCTCGAAAGGTGCAAAGGAACATGTGCGCTAACAAGCTCACCACCAGGTCCCTGGGAAGGAACACCTGGTCAACCTTTCCTGCTTCCAGTCTCTTCAACTCTTTGGTGGAAAGCCTACTAGCAGCGTCCACGATAAATGGAAGGACCTCCGAGAAGAAGTTGCGGCGGCAATCCGGATAAGCTTCGAAGACCGCTGCCAAGCCCTGTGGACACAGTCCAAAGACCTCCTCGAAGCCATCCAGGTCCGTAACGGTTGAGAGATTCTTCTTCCGAAGTTCTTGGAGATAAATCAGCGGACCATCCAAAGAGATCACGGGGCTGGGGCATAAAGCATGACCCATCTGGGTGGCTCTTGGTTGGGAGTCCTGTGGCCGGACTCAAGTGACTCAAGTGTCTTGATCTGGACATGCCACACACAATCACACAACGATCCAAACTACAAACTTGAGGCCGAGGGTAGGTGACGAAAGCTAGCAGGGGTGCATCCGGACTGGTGGGACATCAAG